GCTTGTGTACTGCATCATCACTGTGTCTGTCACGCGACTCTGTTGCCCTTTCAGTCTTGAACTGATGATAAAACTAACAACATTATTAACTGTCTTGATATTTACTTTGAAAGCTGAAGCTGCGATTATGGTAAGGGGCGTTACATTTCCGACGCATGCTTGTGGTGTTCGGCCAATCACAATGCACTGGGTCAGCTGGCCAATCAGAGCAGACTGCGCTTGTCAAAACGACGCTTTGTTGGGGGGCTTTGTTGAAAATGACACGTTTGAGAGAGGCGGGGCATAGAGGACCTACAATAATGTACAATATTTGAAAAATAATGTGTTTTTTGAACATTAAAGTATGTCAACATATTCTGTTACACCAAATACACAAAATAATGATCTTTAAAATAGCATCATATGACCCCTTTAACTTTTAAAAAAGATATATATTTTTTCCAGCTTACTTTTTTTTTTGCGTTTATGAATTTTCCTTGACAAGACAGTAGAGATATGAAAGAAAGTGAGTGAGAGAGAAATGGGGGGTGAGAGCAGGAAAGGTCCACAAGGCAGGATTCGATCTTGGGACACCCAAAGCGCAACTGCGCCATATGTCGGTGTGCTGGCCAGAAGGCTATCAGCACCGTCTTTCCAGCATACTTTTAACATTAAGTGTCTCCTTCTTGGCTGAGATTGTATCACGTTGCACAGAATGATTCACATTCAGTGTGGATAGACAAACTGGTTGTTGCTGGAAACCTGTCACATCTTTGCCTTATTGAATGGTTTTATATTAATTTTTTTATTGAATATGAATCAGTTGTGTTCTATTTGAGCATGTGTGAACACAGTTTGGCAGAGAGACACTGACCTGCACTGACAGTGACAGCGCTGACAAACTGTTCTCTCCAGCTGCTGCTGCCCACCACCAGCGCCAGGTTAGTCTTCTTTATGAGCTTGTCGACGGTATTCTGAAAACACACACAAATACATATATAAAAGATAAATCAAACCTAAACCCACAAAACTGTCCTCATAGTAGACAAGATTTAATATGACTCTGTCTCGTAGCCCAGTGAGCACAGAGGTCTCAGCTAAACTGATTTCAGTGAGGCAGTGGGCGTCTATGCACAACCCTGTCAGAATTTCATTTTCTCCAATGTCATCCTGTCCTAGCCGTTTGCTTGTTTGCATTTAGAGGACTGCGGATAATTGTGGAGGGAGTAACACAGTATTTCTACCTCAAATCTCTTCTAAATCCCAGAGCCGCCTGACCCCGGTGACCTCCAGTATTGAGACTGTCACCATGGGAACAAGGAGGTGAGGATTCAAATAGAAATTAAATGTGAGAGACTGTGCAGGTAAGACCACTTCATGAAAGCTGTATTGTTCTTCCTGATTCACAGGACTTACCTTAAACTCGTACGATTCCTCTATCACCACTTCCTGTTTGGTGTGCTCTCCCAGACTTGGGCACCCCATCTTGGCCACCTCCTCTTCCTCTGCCCCCACCGCCGGTTTGTTATCATTGGAGTCTCCTGTCAAAGGAAGACATAAAAATTCTACTGAGCCGTAGAGTTTGTACGTGTATTACAGAGCTGAGCTGGTAGAACTCAATTTACAAGGAAATTCACTAAGAATGAATTGTGCCCAGTGGTAGCGCTGTTTATTTGCATGCACGGTCTGCGCTTGTTGTTGCACCCAATTCACTAAAGGAATTTTGCTAATCAAGTAACTGAAAATGCAGCCAAAAATGCGTGTTGAACACAATTTGCATGATCATTTTCTATCTTGCATGCCGTTTTGAGTTCTAGTTTGAAAAAAATGCAGCAGACTACAGCAATCTGGCAGACTTTGTTGTGACTGTGTAGCATGTTTACAAAAATAAATCATTAACTTTTATATTTTCATTGTACTAAAGCCAAAGCAAACTGTATGAATGTTGCATGGGAGAATGCAGATCTGAACTATATTCAGATTAGGTTTTTATTTCTCAGTGTTATAAACTTGGCAGCGGCTATTTGCACTAAGTGTAAATAGCGATAGAGGCTATTTGCATTAAGTGCAAATAATGGATTCTATTTACACAGTGAAAATAGCAGGATTTTCTTAGTGATATGCTATTTACACTGCACAAATCGCTCTAGATTCTATTTACACTGTAAAAAAAGCAAGATTTTCTGCTATTTTTACTACTTATTACAAATAGTAGCAATTATCTGCACCTAAATTGTAGTGCGTTATAAAACAGTATGCAATGATAACGTATTGACTGCAAATTAATTTTTTTTTAATTCAAATTATTAAATGGATGCCACCTTACTAGGACAATAAAGCCCTCCCTACACCTACCCTACCCATTGTTTTAACAAAACAACATTGCTGTCAATAGATGCAAAAATAAATAAATAAATGAAAATGATACAAATGTTTAATTTACTAATTTTAATTTGTTAAAATGTAAATTTTAATTAATTAAAAGATTTACTTACAAAAAGCCCCAAAAATAAATTTTGCAAAAAATAATATGTATTAAACATCTGCAATTTTTCCACAGACAATGTAGAACATTTCTGTGGCCCCCATGGGTCCCCAAAGTGCAATTTGAAAACCCCTGATTGTGAACGATTAGGGAACAAGAAGCAGGTTTTTGTTTTAGGTTTCTGAAATACCGCATATTTAAAAATGCATCATAACTGTTTAGTGAATTCATCCTTTTGCGTTTATTATAATCCACTGTAATGTATCATATCCTATAGTAACACTACACATAAGCAGGAAATGAACCACTTTGTGTGTCCTAGAAAAGCATTGAAGAGAGAGACTGAATGACAAAAATCATCAAAAAATGCTTATGTTAATGGCATCAACATTCTTAATTGGATTCTGTAACAGTATGGCAATTTGAAGAGCATGGGGATGAACGTTAAATTAGAGCAGTTAGTACATAATTAATGTGCAGAAATGGCCTAGAGATATTGCTTCAACATGGCTGCTTGCACTGCGACCAGTTACTGCCGGTTCCTGCTCACCCATTATAAAAAGTCACCCATTATAAGACCTCCACTGTCTCCCATTATTCGCTCCGTTCACACAAAGAAACCTTTCTATCAAATCTGTTTCTAAATTATTCAGGGATAGATGTGGAAGTTATTAATACAATATTAAACAGGGACCCCAATCTGTATTCTAATACAAAGCCACAGAGCACTGCAGATGGAGTATGGATGTCACACAGAAATCCACTGACCGTGTTTCTGCCCGATCTCCAGCAGCACCGGCTCCCCCAGGTGGATGGTGAAGGTTTTGTTCTTCTCATACTCCTCATCGTCAATGATCTTCACCTCCAGGATTTTCCTGTGGTGGACAAAGATGAAACAACAAATTTAAATGTAGTATATTTTCAAAGAGCGTGTTATGTGAAATGTGGAAGTTGACAGTGGCAGGAAAATCTAAGTAGATCATAAAGAAACACTGGGATAGCCATGCACCAGTAGCCATTGACAAAGACTTGAAGAAAGAGCTGAGGAAAGTCTCTTTCTTGAAACACCAGCAGAATGGTTCTCTGAGAAAATCATTCATAAAACCATTCATATGTAGATTGTCATCTTCAGTGGACTGCAACAATTGATGTAGGAATGGATTTATGAATGATTTACACTTTACTTTACAATTCATTCTGCTTGTTTTTATGCATAAGCCCTAAGGAGTGTATGCAACATCCATAATATTCACTGAACGTACAATTATTAAAAAATGATGGGTTACCTTAGCATATCTGACTTTCCTTTTTGAAAACTTAGTGCAGAGGGCATTTTCGAGTTATCTTGCATTATCTTAAGTTCATTGCTGATTCCCTCAGAGAGTTAGAAACACGCAGCAGCTCTGATTTTAAGTGATGGGGCTGCGGTACAATGTTTTTGTGCTTAGGGAGCAGGTTAGCCATGGTTAATCACCATTTGTCATTATTAGCACACACAACACTCTGGTCATGGTTGATAAACACTGTCTACAGAAAAGCTGTACAACAGCAACAAGGGGGAGGGTGGGGGCAGAGAGAATGTAATTAATTTAGCAAAAAAGACGGTGGCACTCCATAACCACAGTACACAATTATGTGGTAACATTTATTTCAACTTGTATTCTATTTTTTGCATGTTATGAATGTCACTATAAAATGAATAGTTCTGGTGATTTAAGCCTTTCAGTTGTGCTGAAACATGACAATTATGATACAAAACACCTGTCCTGTTCATTATATCATAGAGGCAACTATAATACGATCAGGCACTACATCTAGGAAAGATGGTGCTTTAAAGGTCACATATTTTACACCTTTCTGGAGTTTTATTTTAAGTCTTGATGTCCTTAAGAATATATATTTATGGTATAAGTACCAAAAACCATCTCAATATATTTTTACAGCTCCTCTCTCAGGAGCTCTGCTGAGAACAGGTCGATTTTGGCCTGTCTAATTGATATTCATGAGCCTCTCTTCTGATTGGCCTGTTGTTTTCTGAGTGACACACAGCCAGGCCAACCACAGGTAACTAGGGTCAGCCGACGTCACAGCGATAGCTGGAGGCAGCAAAACAAAGGGGACACTGGAGGTGGCCCATTAAAACCAGCGCAGATTCGGCTACATAAGGAGCTTAAAATATCATCTTGTTGTGGTGTTGGGTGCCAGAATCAACGTAATACAGCCTCAAATGAGAAATTTGATCACATATCTGCTGCCACTGCCAGACAAAAAACCGACGACAGCTGTGGTTAAACGAGATAAAACGAGCAGACTGGACAGAAACGATCATCAAAAATGCTCGCGTTTGCAGCGCACACTTCTTATCAGAAAAGGTTCAATAAAGTATTGTCTTTTGTTGTTATGGCCGCGTCTACAGATTTCTTGCCATATGTCTATGTTTCTTGCATCTCACGACTATGTCGTGTATGAAATGCTGTCTGTGTGCTCGTGTGTAAAACAACAAACTGACGATTTATATATAATCATTTGTAATTGTATATACATTGTTGTGATTAATTGTGGCTGGAACAATGTAGCTGTAAAAATATGTTTGTGAAATATATAAAAATAAGCTGTGAAATGTATATACATCTTCATCATGACTAGATTGACACGGTGAGTTTGTCTTTACTATACAGGTTAGATGTGATCCACCTCATGGTAACAATCCTGTCTTTCTACATGTTTCCGTGTTGTTGTTGCTCAGCAATGGCATGGACGCGATGTTGTCTGGGGGTTTGGCAAAAGGAGAGTGGGACGGTGGGCGGTGCTCGGGGTGGTGACTGTGTAGTTCTGATGTCAACTTTTTACGGAAGTCACAACGGTTTGTGAAAAATTACAGCTACTTTATGCAGGCTGTGTGCATTTTACTGTGGACTGACTATTTTGAAATTTTGAAACTAGTTAAATAGCCCCTATACCTCAGTTATCGTGAAAAAAAGTCAGGAAATTTAAGTTTTGACAATATGGGAATATGGGATTGGTGAAACAATGTAATTCAAAATTATACTTTAACTATACAAAAATGTTATTTGTTAAATACCCATATTATTTAGTGTATAATAATAATAATAATATACATTAAGTATACATTATTTTCTTGAAGAATTTTTGTTCCGCTATATCAAATAGAACTGCAAAAATAATGATAATTTCAAACAGGTTTCCTAAACACTCCCCCTTCTGCCACTGGTTGGACAAACAGATAGTCCCGCCCCCAGACTCACTACATTGAGCTGCTCGGGGAAAAAAAGAGACAGAGCCAGTCTTTACCTTTTTCAGAGATCAACCTACAAATGGCTTACTTTTAGTCCTCTCTACATATTAAACTGGGATAGGTGAAAATGTTTAAACATCAACAGAATTTATCAGAAAAATGGAAACTCATTTGCAAATGATAGGTGCATCATGTTTTGAAACAGGTGTAAAGGTGAATGAGTTGGATGAGCCATTTGTGGCATTCATTGGTCAAGCATGGCTGCATGCGACGTCTGGCTCTATCACTCGGAAATAGCGCTTGGCAGGAAGAGGAGGCACATACTCTTATCTAGGTCAGCAGGTACGAGAGAGGGACTCAGAGGTGTTTGCATCTTTTTGTGCACACATGTCACCAGGGGAAGTGGTTTTAGGAGCTTTAACAATACCTGGAATAAAAACAAAAAATCCCATAATACCATAATGCATCATAATGACATATTCGGTTATAAAATCCAGCATATCGACTGGCTCATTCGCTATTTATATACACATGTGGTCATTTAATCACATTTTCTGCTTGCGTGAACCTCAACCAACTTCAATAATGACATAAAGCAGATTTTAATGTATCAGTCAGAGTTTGATGAACTGAGAGGTATTTTCATACAGATTAAACTGTTAGAGATTATGCCATTTGTAGGAATGAATTGAGAAACTCTAATGTAAAGTATTGCCATCACGCCCAATAGGATGTTCATTCTGGCTTCCTAATATTTTTTTCATGAGAAAATTACTAGGGATACACAGTATATTTGTACTGTATTTATTGGTTGATATTACAGATGAAAAAAAAAAAAACTATATTATGGTTAATTATGCATGATCATTTCCGTAAATCTTCACAAAATAATTTTATTTATGATATATTTAAATGTATTATTTATATACATATTTTATTTACATATAATTTATTTATTAATTTTTTGCTAATTATTTTTGCGTAGTAAGAATATAGTTGTATTGAATAAATGTGAATAGCATTGTCCATATAACTTCACAAAAATAATTTGGGAAAAAAAATTATATATATATATGTAATCTGAGATAAAGTTGATGCTTAAATTAAATATAATTTCATTAAGACTATGAAAGAGCACCTCTGAGTGATGCAATTTTTCTTCTGGTTTTCTGAGAAACGTCCTACAGTATTTGTATGTGTGTGTGTGACCGAGCGTAGATGAGCTAAGAGGGTCCTCTTTTCTGTTCTCATTACGCACAGAGCATCATTGTATTCGTTTGCATGGCCATAACAGCGGTCATATGATTGAGGGGGAGGTGTAGGGGTGCCACCACCCCATGAGCTCTCCATTAGTCATATGATCGCTGTTATGGCCATGCAAACGAACACAATGATGCTCTGCAGGATGCACAGGGCCTGAGTCTGACCAACCTGGCTAATGATGTCAAATAATCAGGCTGAACTATTAAAGTTAGATGATCTGCTATGCTAGCATATTGCTATATGTTTCATGCATAGGGGAGTGTTCCAGGTTCAAATAAGTTAAAGACCTCATGAAATTGCTTAATGTCTGATGTTTTTTCCTATTAAAACAGGAAGTTGTGGTGGGACGTGCCAAACAGCTCGTATCATTAGGCTTTAGTAAAGTCTCAGCAGTGAAACATGGCTTGCTGCTTGCTAGTCATTGCATATGGTATTGGGGGAGGGACATTTACATTCTAGAGAGCAGTTTATTAGATACAAATCTGTGACGTGCAAGAGTACACATCAATATTTTTCTCTGGTTTACCAGAGAAAGATTTTGAAGTCAGCATGAATTGGAAATTTGCCCTTTCGGTTTTCTAAATGCATCTTATTGATCTGATGTGTGTGTTTTAATGTTTGGACCTTGTAATTTTTGTTATTTTTAATTAAAAAAAATTCTGGTGACGTTTGCCAGATTTCTCCAATCATTTTATCCAGCCCATTTTAACAATCAACTGCAAACTGGCATTCAGATCTGCCTCCATCCAATCAACAATTGATGGATTGCATTAAGTTAACACCCTACAATTTTTTATTTTTCGATAATCCATTTCAGTCAGATGTACTTCACAATATGGAAGAAAAAATCCATTGCTACTTCCATTACATCACAGTTTTTAATCTCATTAAATCTTAATCTACATTTCAGTAATCTTGTGTGCATTCCATTTTATGTATAAACTGGCATTATGCCCATTGTTTGGCAAAATCTTGTAATTTCAGTCCGCTTGTTAAATCATGACATTTTCAAATAATACTGTCTCCAGAGCCAAGCTGCTAATTGTTTGAAGTGAAAATCTCAATGGCCATTTATAAGCAGTATTCATTCTCTATCATACCTTTTAACCTAAGTTTTAAAATCCATGTACACAAGAGTCTCCAAGCTTACAGTATCCAATTATTTAACAATTCAGAATAGATTGTTTATTTAGATTGTTTATTGTCTGGCCAACTGAAGTTTCAGTATGGAAATAAAGGTTAGGATCAAGCTTTTTCAGAAATATACTGCAAACTGTAATTGCATATTAGCCCAGCTTGTTGTTTACCTTTGCGATTTGAGGGAGTGTTTGGATCCAGAAACAGTAATGTGTGACA